TAACAACCACAGTGTATTATCACTAATTTTGCATGGTCCTTTCAAAATTTGTCCTCAGGCTTCATCAGATTTGAGTGTACTGGATTTTGACATCCCGTTCTCCATTTCTTTTGTACTGGCTGCTGCAACCGAATTGCTAGCAACTATTGGAGTTATGGCCTCGGTGACATGGCAAGTACTCATTGTAGGCATCTTCGCTACAGTGGCTTCAAAATATGTCCAGGTGAAACTCGCATCTCTATAATCTTGTTAATTTTTCTCCACTAATGAAGGGAACAAATTAATTTGGATATTTACTTTGGGGCCAAAGGGATATTATCAAGCCTCTGCAAGGGAACTCATGAGAATCAACGGGACCACAAAAGCTCCTGTCATGAATTACGCAGCAGAGACATCTCTTGGAGTGGCCACTATAAGAGCGTTTAATATGGAGGACAGGTTCTTTCAAAACTACCTAAAGCTCGTCGACACAGATGCAAAAGTTTTTTTCTTCTCTAATGCAGCATTGGAGTGGTTGGTTTTGAGAACTGAAGCACTTCAAAATCTGACCCTATTCACTGCCTCTTTTCTACTAGTTTTACTTCCCAAGGGCTATGTAGCTCCAGGTACTCATGCCTATGGTCTATTGCCACAGTTATGGTTTGCTTAGCAATGTGGTTGTAGATTCTTAACAAGTTTATTTTTTGCAGGGCTTGTGGGACTTTCTCTTTCTTATGCCCTGGCACTGACAGGCGCCCAAGTGTTCTTAACCCGATGGTACAGTAGCTTGTCTAATTATATAATTTCAGTGGAACGGATCAAACAATTCATGCACATAACACCGGAGCCTCCAGCAATTGTGGAAGAAAATAGGCCACCATCTTCATGGCCTTCCATGGGTAGTATAGAGTTGCAGGACCTAAAGGTGATAACTTTGATGGCCTTATCATTTAGATGGATAAGCCTTGAGCAAATTAATGAAAGAATGGCCTTTGATGAGTACCATAGTTCTCTCTCTGGGGGAATATACTATTATGTCCACTGGCTGAAATATGCTGCTCATGTTGAACTGGTTTGTGCCAACAAGTGCTATGTCCTTCACTAAAATAATATTCCATGCCATGGACTCAAAGCATGTGTCCTCTCGCGATTGGATATCATTTGTACTTTTTTATTACTGACGACATTTTGGTTTTAGTGAAATTTATATGCTATTCTTTCCTGATACTGATTTCCTATGCTTTCCAAACCTTAATCCTAGTAATTTGTTTGATTAACTTATGATGATTGTTTGGTTTCAGATAAGATACCGTCCAAATGCTCCCCTAGTTCTCAAAGGGATCACTTGCACTTTCAGAGAAGGGACTAGAGTAGGCATCGTTGGAAGGACTGGAAGTGGCAAAACTACACTAATCAGTGCATTGTTTCGTTTGGTAGAGCCTGATATTGGAAAAATACTAATAGATGGGCTTGACATTTGCTCCATAGGTCTTAAGGATTTAAGGCTGAAACTCAGCATCATCCCTCAAGAGCCAACTCTTTTCAGGGGTAGTGTTCGGACAAATTTGGACCCTTTAGGCCTTTATTCAGATGATGAAATATGGAAGGTAAGGAAGCTTATACTAATCTTAATGAACGTCTGAGATAATAGTGTCTTTGCTGATGAGAAATCTTTTAGTCTGAAAACAAACCTTGTGTCGACATGTTTTATCCCCGAGCTGGTTAATGGTTAATTTGCAGGTCCTAGAGAAGTGCCAACTAAAGGGTACCATCAGCAAACTTCCCAACTTGCTAGATTCTTCTGGTGAGTCGAATCTATAAAATTGGAAGCAATCTATTGGATGCTCAAAAATGTTTCTGTTAACCAGTTCTGTTGTTTTTTAAAGTAATACAAGAAATCAAAGGTGAAAACATAATGCATTGCAAATTTGCAAAGGTCTAAAATCATTCTGCAGTGAATCTAGATTCTATACTCAACTGTGTATCACCCACTGTATGAAGTTTGTAGAAGATGAAAATCAGTCCTTTTCATTTTGTTTCTACAGTTAGCGATGAAGGTGAGAACTGGAGTATGGGACAACGCCAGCTTTTCTGCCTTGGAAGAGTCCTTCTGAGGAGAAACAGGATCCTAGTTCTTGATGAAGCAACTGCTTCTATTGATTCCGCCACAGATGCAATTCTACAGAAAATTATTAGGGAAGAATTCTCAAATTGCACGGTGATTACTGTGGCTCACAGGGTTCCAACTGTTATTGATAGTGACATGGTCATGGTCCTCTCTTTTGGTATGTTTCTATAATTTAAGTGCTCATGCTATGTACAGACGGTGAATAATTAGAATAAGCAGATCATAAACCCCTCTCCTCCTGACATTTATGCAATATATATCAATTGACTCCAGATGCACATTGGATTTTCAATGTATGAAAATGTCATGTCAAAAGGGACAAACCAGCGTAAATATCTCAATTTCTATTCAACCATGAATTTGATTAACACTATGTTTTTGAGCAATATGTGCTGTTTGAAAGGGGAATTAAGGAAGTCTTTGTCTAAAGAAATAAATTGAGAATTACACACCTCTGTTTTGCTTGTATGCAACCTGGACTGCATAACAGGTCTGTTTTAATATAAAGTCATTCATAAGAAACAGTTGAAATTTTAGCAAGGCCTATTTGTCAAGTTTAGTCCAGATTTTATGTTGAATGGGACAGGAAGCCTATTTACACAACTCTGACCTGCCCTGATTTTGCAGGGAATTTAGTAGAGTATGATGAGCCGTCAAAGCTCATGGAAACAAATTCCTATTTTTCTAAGCTTGTAGCCGAATACTGGTCCAGCAGCAGGAGGAACTCCGTTCAGAGATACAATGAATATCACTATTGAGATTCTGAAGGATGATTGAGAAGCCAAGATGGCTTGAAAGAGATCATTTGCTGTGCAAAAAGGACCGGACTATTACAGTGACACGACGTCATTATGGACGCGTGGTATCAGACACCAATAAGAAGATACCAAATGTGTGTAGTCTAGCTCCCACTGGNTCATTTGCTGTGCAAAAAGGACCGGACTATTACAGTGACACGACGTCATTATGGACACGTGGTATCAGAAACCAATAAGAAGATATAGTTATGGAACTGTGTTGGTCAAATAAATGTGGGTATGCCATGTAAATTTGTGTTGTATTGTTTAATAAGAGCCAGTTGAACAAAATATAACCATTGTTTGCTGCTATATGCGTATGTGTACTATTTGAACTTGTATTTGAAATTTAAATTATAGCAGGTTTATTTCATGAGAGTTTCTGAGCCATACCACAAGAATGTCTGAAACTGTTAAACTAATACAGACATGCACATGTANAAAATATAACCATTGTTTGCTGCTATATGCGTATGTGTACTATTTGAACTTGTATTTGAAATTTAAATTATAGCAGATTTATTTCATGAGAGTTTCTGAGCCATACCACAAGAATGTCTGAAACTGTTAAACTAATACAGACATGCACATGCATACACAATAAAAGGCATCACTCCACTGTGATATATGGGCAGATTAGATGAACGCAGTCATACAAGCTTCAGGATGAGAGGCTCTTTCCACAACTCAGGTAAATCTTTCTTGTTTCCAGAGAATCAAAACATGATACATTCATATATCCAATGTTAGTACTTTTATGATCTGTTGGAGTATAGATAGTCTAGGTTTATTAGGATTTCTTTTCTCTTTTTTACCCTTACTATGATTTTTATATTTTGCCTAAACTACAAGGATGTTTAAGTCACTCTGTATTATTTTTGCCTATATATACGAGACTCTACTTTGAGTTTGAGTATCCCTTTCACATATTTCAAGTTNTATACACAATAAAAGGCATCACTCCACTGTGATATATGGGCAGATTAGATGAACGCAGTCATACAAGCTTCAGGATGAGAGGCTCTTTCCACAACTCAGGTAAATCTTTCTTGTTTCCAGAGAATCAAAACATGATACATTCATATATCCAATGTTAGTACTTTTATGATCATGGTACACAGGCAAGTAGCATTAAATATATAATGGCTGCCCATATTTTNTAGTCTAGGTTTATTAGGATTTCTTTTCTCTTTTTTACCCTTACTATGATTTTTATATTTTGCCTAAACTACAAGGATGTTTAAGTCACTCTGTATTATTTTTGGCTATATATACGGGACTCTACTTTGAGTTTGAGTATCCCTTTCACATATTCCAAGTTGGTATCAGAGCCAAAACCCTAGCCTCCATCTCTAAGCCTAACCCTAACCTTAACCCTAGCCTTCATCACCTTCCCAGCAGCCACCATTCCACTGCTCAAACAATCTGCAACAGCCTGCCCAACCTCCAGCGCCACACCCAGGCCACCAGAACTAGCGACTCCATACCAGCGAACCAAAACCAGCGACATCCACAAACCCACTGCACCGACTGCCTCCATAAAGCCTGCTGCCCAGCCCCTAGCCGCAACACTCCACCTGTCCACCGACATCCACAAACCCACTGCACCGACTGCCTCCATAAAGCATCGACTGCCTACACAACAAAACCAACAACCACAAACCAACGTTCGACACGCCGTGCAAAGCCTCCGACCACCACTCGTACTTGGGCAGTCCAATCCTCGCCACCCCGAGAGCGGTGTCCCCAATCTGCTGCACCTTCTCCGCCAATCAAACCCACAAACCACTATTATTAGCCGTCACAAACCAACAAACCCACAAACCCACAAACCAATATTATTAGCCATCACAAACCAACAAACCAAGTAAGATTGGGTCACTGTTCATCAGCCCACTGCTGGGTTGCTTTTTTGTTGTAGCTTGGTCCTTCGCACACTTTGTCATAGTGCTGCCAGATTNTATCAACACTAGTAAAGTTTGCTATTTGATCTATTCCTCCCCCGGTAGATTCATATTGCCTCTGATTTGTATAAAATAATGAATCTGATTCGAGCTAATGAAATGTACATGCAGGAGGATTCTCATGGATTTGTGATGGGGTATTCGATTTGGGTTCTACATGTACTCAAAGAACTCTTATAGATGTCTTGAACCTACTATTTGTGTTTGTTTTCTGCCTGGTCTTGCTTGTAAGTGCTATAAGAAAAAACTGCACCAATGAGGACAATAGAAGAGATTGGGTCACTCTCTCTATTTCACTTTGTTGTGCTCTTACTGGTTTTGCATATATTGGTGCTGGTATATGGGATCTAATCATAAAAAATGGTGCAATTGATCATTCGAGCAGCTTGGTTTACTTTGTTAGAGGAGTAATTTGGATCACTTTGACTGTTTCCTTTCTTGTACAAAAACCCAAATGGACTAAACTTTTGGTTTCTGTCTGGTGGGTGATGTTCTTTCTGTTGATTTCGGCTCTTAACATAAAGATCTTAGTAGAATCACACAACATTCAAATCTTGGAGGCGTTGTCATGGCTTGTAAACTTCTTGCTTCTGTTTTGTGCTTTGAGAAATTTCAGTTACGTGGTTCCTGAAAATGGCCAGCACAAGAGTTTATCGGAACCTCTACTAGTGGAGAAGCCCGAAAAAGGCCATGCCAAGCTTGACAAGGCCAGTTTTCTTAGCAAATTGTCATTTTCTTGGGTTAATCCTTTACTTTCCTCAGGTTACTCAAAACCATTAGATCTTGAAGATATACCTAGTCTAGTCTCCGAAGATGAAGCAATTGTAGCCTATGAGAAATTTGCTTATGCATGGGATTTACTTCAAAAGGAGAAAAGCTTAACCAATACTAGGAATTTTGTTCTTTGGGCTATAGCAAAAGTTCATCTAAAGAAAATGGTGTTTGTAGGGACTTGTGCATTAATCAGGGCAATCACAGTTGTTCTTTCGCCTTTGCTACTCTATGCCTTTGTAAATTATTCAAACAACGATAAAGAAGATATAAATCAAGGGCTAATCTTAGTGGGATGCCTAGTTGTAGTCAAGATTGCTGAATCTTTGTCGCAGAGACATTTCTATTTCAGTTCAAGAAGGACGGGGATGAGGATGAGATCGGCTCTAATGGTGGCAGTTTATCAAAAGCAGCTCAAGATTGCTAGTTCGGGAAGGCAAAGGCATTCAACTGGGGAGGTTGTGAATTACATTGCTGTCGATGCTTATCGAATGGGGGAATTTCCTATGTGGTTCCATGTGGGATGGAGTTGTGTCCTGCAACTTTTTCTAGCCATAGCAGTTCTTTACGGGATCATTGGCCTTGGTGTTCTTCCTGGTTTAGTCCCTCTTCTCATATGTGGGTTTCTTAATGTGCCATTTGCAAAATTGCTACAAAAGTGTCAGTCTGAAATGATGATCGCCCAAGACAAGCGACTCAGGGCCATGTCGGAGATCCTAAACAATATGAAAATCATCAAGTTGCAGTCATGGGAAGATAACTTCAAGAAATTGATTGAATCCTACCGCGAAATTGAGTTCAAGTGGTTGGCTGAATCCCAGTATAAGAAGATATACAATACCGCTTTGTATTGGATGGCTCCAACGATTGTTTCATCTGTCATCTTTATTGGATGTGCTGTGTTAAATAGTGCCCCATTAAATGCTGGCACTATTTTCACGATCTTGGCAGCTCTCCGGGCAATGGCTGAACCTGTCAGGATGATACCGGAGGCTCTTTCTAATGCAATCCAGGTCAAGGTTTCTTTTGACAGGCTGAATTCTTTTCTGCTTGAAGATGAACTCAAAAAGGAGGAAATAGAGAGAACTTCATTAGGGCATTCAGAAAACTGTATCCGAATACAATCTGGCAGTTTCAGTTGGGATCCAGAATCAGCTATTCCAACACTTAGAAATGTGAATTTGGAAGTACAATGGGGGCACAAAATTGCAGTCTGTGGGCCTGTTGGTGCTGGGAAATCATCGCTTTTATATGCCATACTTAGGGAAATACCTCTAATTTCAGGAACTGTGAGTTACAAATAGTCCTTTGTAAATTATTAACAAAATATGTGCCACTTGTTATATCTACTTTCTGCTTGCATTCAGGTGGATGTAGCTGGATCAATTGCTTATGTTTCTCAAGCTTCTTGGATTCAAAGTGGGACAATTCGTGATAATATACTCTATGGAAAGCCAATGGACAAAATCAAGTACGAGAAGGCCATAAAAGTTTGTGCTCTGGAGAAGGACATTGATGGTTTTGACCATGGTGATCTCACAGAGATAGGTCAGAGAGGGCTCAATATGAGTGGAGGGCAGAAGCAGAGGATTCAACTTGCTCGAGCTGTCTACAACGATGCTGATATCTATCTTCTCGATGACCCTTTTAGTGCAGTGGATGCTCATACAGCAGCAACTCTTTTTAATGTAGGTTAAATGCATACACATATTTACATCATAGAGAGGTCACTTTACTCTTACTGAATTTAAAAGATTTAATTGTAGGATTGCGTCTTGGCTGCTCTGGAGAAGAAGACTGTCATTCTTGTGACTCATCAAATGCAGTTTCTCTCTGAGGTTGATAATATTCTGGTAATGATTATTCTGGAAATTTCCGTTCCTACATCAAAATGTGGGGTTTCTGTGATTTATACAAAATAATCTGATACTCTCCTTTTCAGGTTATGAAAGATGGACAGGTTATTCAATCGGGAAGCTATAAGGAACTTTTGCTGGCAGGGACTGCTTTTGAGCAGCTTGTGAATGCTCATGCAAATGCAATAACAAGATTGGATCCTTCAACTAATGAAAACCAACATGAGCCTCACAAGGGTTCTATGGAACTCCTAGAAGTAACTGACAGATCTTACCTCGCTAAAGAAAGCTGTGAAGGGGAGATTTCCAAGAAGGGTGGTGTGCCTGGAGTACAGTTGACAGAAGAAGAAAAGAAGGAGATTGGTGATGTTGGGTGGAAGCCTTTCATGGATTACATATTCTTCTCAAAGGGATCACTTTTTCTCTGTCTAAACATAATAACTCAGTCTTGTTTTGTTGCTCTTCAGGCAGCTGCAAGTTACTGGCTAGCATTTGCCATTCAAATTCCTGAAATCAGCAGTGTTATCTTAATTGGTGTTTACACTCTACTTTCAACACTGAGTGCTTTCTTTGTATTTGTGAGATCCTTATTTATTGCCCTTCTGGGATTAAGAGCTTCTAAAGCCTTCTTTTCCGGTTATACCAACTCGATCTTCAATGCTCCCATGCTCTTCTTTGACTCTACCCCCATTGGGCGGATTTTGACCAGAGTAAGATTTTGTTCTTTTCACCATACCTCGTAACAACCACAGTGTATTATCACTAATTTTGCATGGTCCTTTCAAAATTTGTCCTCAGGCTTCATCAGATTTGAGTGTACTGGATTTTGACATCCCGTTCTCCATTTCTTTTGTACTGGCTGCTGCAACCGAATTGCTAGCAACTATTGGAGTTATGGCCTCGGTGACATGGCAAGTACTCATTGTAGGCATCTTCGCTACAGTGGCTTCAAAATATGTCCAGGTGAAACTCGCATCTCTATAATCTTGTTAATTTTTCTCCACTAATGAAGGGAACAAATTAATTTGGATATTTACTTTGGGGCCAAAGGGATATTATCAAGCCTCTGCAAGGGAACTCATGAGAATCAACGGGACCACAAAAGCTCCTGTCATGAATTACGCAGCAGAGACATCTCTTGGAGTGGCCACTATAAGAGCGTTTAATATGGAGGACAGGTTCTTTCAAAACTACCTAAAGCTCGTCGACACAGATGCAAAAGTTTTTTTCTTCTCTAATGCAGCATTGGAGTGGTTGGTTTTGAGAACTGAAGCACTTCAAAATCTGACCCTATTCACTGCCTCTTTTCTACTAGTTTTACTTCCCAAGGGCTATGTAGCTCCAGGTACTCATGCCTATGGTCTATTGCCACAGTTATGGTTTGCTTAGCAATGTGGTTGTAGATTCTTAACAAGTTTATTTTTTGCAGGGCTTGTGGGACTTTCTCTTTCTTATGCCCTGGCACTGACAGGCGCCCAAGTGTTCTTAACCCGATGGTACAGTAGCTTGTCTAATTATATAATTTCAGTGGAACGGATCAAACAATTCATGCACATAACACCGGAGCCTCCAGCAATTGTGGAAGAAAATAGGCCACCATCTTCATGGCCTTCCATGGGTAGTATAGAGTTGCAGGACCTAAAGGTGATAACTTTGATGGCCTTATCATTTAGATGGATAAGCCTTGAGCAAATTAATGAAAGAATGGCCTTTGATGAGTACCATAGTTCTCTCTCTGGGGGAATATACTATTATGTCCACTGGCTGAAATATGCTGCTCATGTTGAACTGGTTTGTGCCAACAAGTGCTATGTCCTTCACTAAAATAATATTCCATGCCATGGACTCAAAGCATGTGTCCTCTCGCGATTGGATATCATTTGTACTTTTTTATTACTGACGACATTTTGGTTTTAGTGAAATTTATATGCTATTCTTTCCTGATACTGATTTCCTATGCTTTCCAAACCTTAATCCTAGTAATTTGTTTGATTAACTTATGATGATTGTTTGGTTTCAGATAAGATACCGTCCAAATGCTCCCCTAGTTCTCAAAGGGATCACTTGCACTTTCAGAGAAGGGACTAGAGTAGGCATCGTTGGAAGGACTGGAAGTGGCAAAACTACACTAATCAGTGCATTGTTTCGTTTGGTAGAGCCTGATATTGGAAAAATACTAATAGATGGGCTTGACATTTGCTCCATAGGTCTTAAGGATTTAAGGCTGAAACTCAGCATCATCCCTCAAGAGCCAACTCTTTTCAGGGGTAGTGTTCGGACAAATTTGGACCCTTTAGGCCTTTATTCAGATGATGAAATATGGAAGGTAAGGAAGCTTATACTAATCTTAATGAACGTCTGAGATAATAGTGTCTTTGCTGATGAGAAATCTTTTAGTCTGAAAACAAATCTTGTGTCGACATGTTTTATCCCCGAGCTGGTTAATGGTTAATTTGCAGGTCCTAGAGAAGTGCCAACTAAAGGGTACCATCAGCAAACTTCCCAACTTGCTAGATTCTTCTGGTGAGTCGAATCTATAAAATTGGAAGCAATCTATTGGATGCTCAAAAATGTTTCTGTTAACCAGTTCTGTTGTTTTTTAAAGTAATACAAGAAATCAAAGGTGAAAACATAATGCATTGCAAATTTGCAAAGGTCTAAAATCATTCTGCAGTGAATCTAGATTCTATACTCAACTGTGTATCACCCACTGTATGAAGTTTGTAGAAGATGAAAATCAGTCCTTTTCATTTTGTTTCTACAGTTAGCGATGAAGGTGAGAACTGGAGTATGGGACAACGCCAGCTTTTCTGCCTTGGAAGAGTCCTTCTGAGGAGAAACAGGATCCTAGTTCTTGATGAAGCAACTGCTTCTATTGATTCCGCCACAGATGCAATTCTACAGAAAATTATTAGGGAAGAATTCTCAAATTGCACGGTGATTACTGTGGCTCACAGGGTTCCAACTGTTATTGATAGTGACATGGTCATGGTCCTCTCTTTTGGTATGTTTCTATAATTTAAGTGCTCATGCTATGTACAGACGGTGAATAATTAGAATAAGCAGATCATAAACCCCTCTCCTCCTGACATTTATGCAATATATATCAATTGACTCCAGATGCACATTGGATTTTCAATGTATGAAAATGTCATGTCAAAAGGGACAAACCAGCGTAAATATCTCAATTTCTATTCAACCATGAATTTGATTAACACTATGTTTTTGAGCAATATGTGCTGTTTGAAAGGGGAATTAAGGAAGTCTTTGTCTAAAGAAATAAATTGAGAATTACACACCTCTGTTTTGCTTGTATGCAACCTGGACTGCATAACAGGTCTGTTTTAATATAAAGTCATTCATAAGAAACAGTTGAAATTTTAGCAAGGCCTATTTGTCAAGTTTAGTCCAGATTTTATGTTGAATGGGACAGGAAGCCTATTTACACAACTCTGACCTGCCCTGATTTTGCAGGGAATTTAGTAGAGTATGATGAGCCGTCAAAGCTCATGGAAACAAATTCCTATTTTTCTAAGCTTGTAGCCGAATACTGGTCCAGCAGCAGGAGGAACTCCGTTCAGAGATACAATGAATATCACTATTGAGATTCTGAAGGATGATTGAGAAGCCAAGATGGCTTGAAAGAGATCATTTGCTGTGCAAAAAGGACCGGACTATTACAGTGACACGACGTCATTATGGACGCGTGGTATCAGACACCAATAAGAAGATACCAAATGTGTGTAGTCTAGCTCCCACTGGATATAGTTATGGAACTGTGTTGGTCAAATAAATGTGGGTATGCCATGTAAATTTGTGTTGTATTGTTTAATAAGAGCCAGTTGAACAAAATATAACCATTGTTTGCTGCTATATGCGTATGTGTACTATTTGAACTTGTATTTGAAATTTAAATTATAGCAGGTTTATTTCATGAGAGTTTCTGAGCCATACCACAAGAATGTCTGAAACTGTTAAACTAATACAGACATGCACATGTATACACAATAAAAGGCATCACTCCACTGTGATATATGGGCAGATTAGATGAACGCAGTCATACAAGCTTCAGGATGAGAGGCTCTTTCCACAACTCAGGTAAATCTTTCTTGTTTCCAGAGAATCAAAACATGATACATTCATATATCCAATGTTAGTACTTTTATGATCATGGTACACAGGCAAGTAGCATTAAATATATAATGGCTGCCCATATTTTTTCTTGTAGATCTCTGTTTGATCAACATGACAATCAGAGGTTACAAAATCTACCCCAAAATCAAAAGCAAAAGCAAGTATGCCCAAACTTGGCATTGGCCAAAGGTATATTTTTGGTGACTAGTAAGGCACAGGGAGGGCTTGAGGCAAGGCTTGATGAGCAGATATCGGAATTGGCTGAGACTTTAAATCAACTGATAACAACTGAGTGGACTTACTGCTGTTGTCCTCTTCAACACAAATTGTGTTGATAAGTTGGAGCAGAATGCATTCGAGCTCTTCTCCATCTGTCCATTCATGGATTTCTGCCTTCACAAGCGCGTGGTTTTTGCATATCAAATCCCATACTGGGAAATTCTTCCTTGGCATCATGTAATCTCCTTCTTTGAGCTTCAGGCTTGGGCAAAAATCACCACTTCCATCTCCCAGATAGATGAACTTTTTCCTCCCCTCCTCGGCTATAGAAGCTTGTATTCTTTCTATTACCGGACCCTATAAAAATATCACCATAATCAAATAAAAATTACCAAAATATAGCTAATTGGACATCATTTTACAACTAATGGTTCTTCACTTCTTTGGTTTAAGCACAAAAATTGCTGGCTGAAAAGTATAATTCTGTTTTAAACTAATTTACCTTGCACATGTTTGGAGGGCAAAGGCTGCAGCCATGAGGAGATGAATGAAAATCATGGTAAGGGAAGATTCTTAGCCTTCCTTCCTCATCAACACAACTTGGGTTTGTGTTGATTTCAGAAAAACAATCCCTTATCTCAAGATGCTTCAAAATCGTCTCGATAAAGAAGAGATTAGCATCACTAACTATCCTCAGATCACACCTGAAACCCATCCACAGTCCCCCATTAACTTTGTTTTCCATGAGATAAAACAGAGAACAACAAATGCTTCATGTTAGAAATTTGTCACAGAGAGAGAGAGAGAGAGACAGAGAGAGAGGGAGGGAGAGAGACTAACCCTAAAGCATGGGCAGATTTTATAGCTGGGACTATCCGGGGATGTAATGGAACTCGTTTCAGTACCTCTGCAATGTCCTCAATGGTTTTGCCTTGTGCATGAAGCTCCTGCATCATCCTATCCTGCAAATATGTAACAGAGCATACACTTTAAACTATGAGTAGGCAACTAGAAAACACCACCAAAATGTCATATCCTGTAGTGTCGTGTCATGTTCCAATCGACTAAAGTTACATTATTTCCAAATTTGTTAAACTCATACTCTAAAGCTGCAAATAATCGATTTCATGACTTATTTACTTAGGTTTGTATCGACCCATTTACCAAAAGCCAATNCCTCAATGGTTTTGCCTTGTGCATGAAGCTCCTGCATCATCCTATCCTGCAAATATTGAACAGAGCATACACTTTAAACTATGAGTAGGCAACTAGAAAACACCACCAAAATGTCATATCCTGTAGTGTCTTGTCATGTTCCGATCGACTAAAGTTACATTATTTCCAAATTTGTTAAACTCATCCTCTAAAGCTGCAAATAATCGATTTCATGACTTATTTACTTAGGTTTGCATCGACCCATTTACCAAAAGCCACTGTGAATCAATCTAAAGAACAATGTGGTGAATTACAGAGAAGAAAATACTGAAAAAATGCAAAAGTTAGAGAATAAAGTCACCATGAGAGAATTCCATGGCATGGTAGGAAGAAGCTGACCGAACAAGTCGGTGGCACCCAACTCGTCAACTACCCAGTTATCGCTATCCACATCAATGATCGTCTTGTCAAAGTCGAAAACCACCACAATTCCAGCCATTGTCAGAGCAAAGAACAGGTTTTTTTCTCGCAAACACAGTCAAGAAAACTTGGGCTTAACACTGATAGAATGATAGTTCTTGGCTTCGAAAGCCACAGAGGAGAGAGAGAGTATTTATAGGGATGGAACGGCTTGGATTGCAAGCATAACAGTTGAAAATTTGTGTAAAGATTCCAAGGAATATTACATGAAAGAGTTTGTGGTGAGCTAAAGGAAGGCCATTGGAGTACCTTTTTCTGTTTCTCTCCGTCTCTTTCTCTACCAGTGTCATTATCCAGTAGTTTTTTTTGATAACTTAGTATACTGATTCTGGNAAGGCCATTGGAGTACCTTTTTCTGTTTCTCTCCGTCTCTTTCTCTACCAGTGTCATTATCCAGTAGTTTTTTTTGATAACTTAGTATACTGATTCTGGATGATCTTAGCCGTCCACATGATCAGTGTAACCATCGAACGTCGTGGGTTGTATGGGATTAAGAAGTTAAGGGTGTTTTTTGTAAATTCAAGGGTTGGCCGTACTTTCTGGAAACGCGGGAATAAGAGAATATCCGTTGGAATTCGAACTATTATGCCCTGAAACGCAATTCCAAAACAACGAATTTACTCACTTGCAAATTGCAATGGCCACTTACCAACTTATAATGGCCATTTTTTTTATGATGGATTTAATTTATTTGATAATTGATATCAAATTTTCTTGGGTATGAGTTAAGGTTGTTAATTGAGTCGAATTTATGAGCTTGAACTGAGTTTATCGAGCTCATTTTTTCAAACAAATCTAAAAAATTATTCAAACTCGACTCATTTAAAAAATGAGTCGAACGTGAGCCAAGAGCTGAATTCAACTATTTTAGAAATAAACAAGTCGAACCCTTTAAGCTCATTTTTTAAATGAGTTCGGCTTGTATCCAAACTAATCTCGAGTTGAACCCGAGTAATTTTGCTCAGTTATCAACTCTAATATCAGCTTAATAATATGTTTGAAACGTAATTGGATTGATTTTGGTTTGATTTATTTAATCGTGGGGTTGATAAAAATTTTATTGAGCACAATTCATGTGTGATATGATCTCGATGTCTGATTATTCACATCTATAAATGGGTTGGTAGGTATTTAGGTAATGTTAACATGATTCAACTTAAGCATAATATAATAGTTGTTAAGCATTATCTTAATGTAGTGGCTAGCTATTTCTACATGCCCACATTAAATTTACCCTTTATAGGTCTAGAAAGTAATAAAGGAAAAAAAAGACAGTTTAATATGTGGGGCTTGGATTTTAGAGAGGGATTAGATGTATTTGAACTTATGAAAATAATATAATAATTTACGTCAAAATATTAAAAATTTTGAGAATGACACGTGACAAAATTTAATTATAAGCATCAAGTCGATTATGAGAAATGATCTCTAAGGATTTTCGAATGTGAAGAGACATAGTAGACGTGATATTATAGAGTCATTGGTTACAAATGACTATGGACGCACAATTTTAGTCGTCAGAGAAAGAGGCGACAAATGCTAGCTTAATGGTTGAAAAAGATGACTCCAAAGGTTAAAAGTCTCTGCCTATAATTATAGAAGTATATACAGCAAAGAGGAGATCCCATGATCAACACACAAACAACGTCTTCCTCTTTACTGTTTAAGTTTTTACTTTTTATTTTATTGGGTAAATTACACTCACACCCCTTGACATTTGGCTTTATTACACGGAGACCCACTCACATTTCAACAATTACACTGAAACCCCTTGACATTTGAACACTTGTGACAATCGCACCCCTTTTGTATGACAGATGCTAACTATTTCATTAAAAAGACTTTTTTACCACTATAACATTGAGATTAACAATTTCTTAATAAAATTTGTCTTAAAAAATTTAATTAAATCAAACCAATCTACTAATTAAGGTAATTTATCTCCAAAATTTCATTAATTTAAATTTAGCCCCCAAATTTGATTCTAATTTATACACAATTAATACCATTAACACCACCACCATGCACCACTAATTGCCGCCTCCACCACCATTGAAACCCACCACACAAACCTACCCAATTTGCCCCCAAATCCACAACACAAACCCATCAAACCATCAATCTCCACCGTTACAACCCACCTTCCAATGAAATCCACCAAGCACTGCGAGTCCAACGCCACAATCCACCAGTGAAATCCACTAAACACTGTGAGTCCACCACACAAACCCACCAAACACCGCGAGTCCACTAAAACAATCCACCACACAAACCCACCAAACTCAGATTTGAAAATCAATCTCAAAAATTTGAAAACTTTTTTCGCTCCATTTTGACCATGAAGAACTCGGATTGGGTTTTGAGTTTTTTTGGTTTTGGCAGTGATGACTTTGTTGTGGTGTTGAAGGTCAGTGATTATAGGCGATGGAGAGATGGTTTTGTTGTCGGGTTCCCCCTCTCTGTCTGTGTGTATGTATATATGTGTATGTATTGTATATATATATATACATGCACACACAGAAATGGGCTGGGATAGAGAGAGAGAGAAGATTGAGTCTGTGTATGTATATATATATATATATATATATGTACACGCACAAACAAAAATGGGCTGAGGGAGAGAGAAAGAGAGCAGAGTGATGAGGCGAAGGATTAGGGTTAGGGTTAGGGATAGAGCTTGGGGTTTGGGTTTAAGTTTGTGTTAAACAGAAGGGCAAAATAGTCTTTTTATTAAAATAGTTAACTACGTCTGCCCATTGGGGTCTTAATGTAATTGTTGAAATGTGAGAGAGTGTCTTTGTAATAAAGTCAAATGTTAGGGGATATGAGTATAATTTATCCTATTTTTTCTTTTTTTCGTTCAATTTTAAGTGCAGTAGTTAATTCAAGGATTATCTTTTGTTGTTTACTTTACTATTCGTTCCAATTCCGGTTTATTTTCAACCCCTGATGTTCCTCCTAATGTCCTCTGGTCCTTAAAGTTCCCAGAACCAATGGATTATTATTATTATGCGGTGCCGAGATTTCTAATTTTATTCTATTCTATTCTATTATAAATGGCGGTCGGTCACAGCCTAACAGATAATATCCGATAACACGAATATCACAACAGTCCCATTTGTGCAATGTGCATGGTAGGCATATGCTCAATCCAAATCAGTTACACATCCACAACCACAACCTCTCTTCCTCTTCTTTTCAATAATCAGGTATGTCTAAACTACCTTACGCACAATTCAATTAAATTTTTTTTTAATTTAATCAACAACAAGTCATTCACGTCAGAACTAGAATATTCATGAAGAATAATTTTTCATATTTTAATCCCAAAAAATTATTAAAATTCAAATTCAAATTCAAAACGTCTAAATTTACAAAACGTATTTATTACCACTTGAGCTACCTTAAGATTTTTCACAACCACGCACACCTTCCAAACTACTTTTGAGTTTTCAATCCTCTACGAATGAGCAAGAATCTCAATAAATGGTTTTTTTTAATGAGAAAAAAATCACGAAATAAGTAGTGAGTTTCAATAAATATTAGGACTCACATTTAAATCAATGATAATNTTAAGTGCAGTAGTTAATTCAAGGATTATCTTTTGTTGTTTACTTTACTATTCGTTCCAATTCCGGTTTATTTTCAACCCCTGATGTTCCTCCTAATGTCCTCTGGTCCTTAAAGTTCCCAGAACCAATGGATTATTATTATTATGCGGTGCCGAGATTTCTAATTTTATTCTATTCTATTCTACTATAAATGGCGGTCGGTCACAGCCTAACAGATAATATCCGATAACACGAATATCACAACAGTCCCATTTGTGCAATGTGCATGGTAGGCATATGCTCGATCCAAATCAGTTACACATCCACAACCACAACCTCTCTTCCTCTTCTTTTCAATAATCAGGTATGTCTAAACTACCTTACACACAATTCAATTAAATTTTTTTTTAATTTAATCAACAACAAGTCATTCACGTCAGAACTAGAATATTCATGAAGAATAATTTTTCATATTTTAATCCCAAAAAATTATTAAAATTCAAATTCAAATTCAAAACGTCTAAATTTACAAAACGTATTTATTACCACTTGAGCTACCTTAAGATTTTTCACAACCACGCACACCTTCCAAACTACTTTTGAGTTTTCAATCCTCTACGAATGAGCAAGAATCTCAATAAATGGTTTTTTTTAATGAGAAAAAAATCACGAAATAAATAGTGAGTTTCAATAAATATTAGGACTCACATTTAAATCAATGATAATAATTGATTAAATCAATAAATGAGATCAATATCTTAAGTCTAATTAACATTACTTTTACTTAGAATGTACAAATTTACATCTTGTTCAATGTTTGAAACGCAAAACCAACTAGCACAAGTTTCTTTGAAGTGGTATGAAGGTATAGTATTTGACTCTCTTTTTGTGATTATGCTAGTGAAGTATTTTATATCTCTTGGACTTAGATTTATTCCCAAATAATAATGTTCATTATTTAGTGGGTCCTATTTAAAGTAATAAAAGTTGATCAACTACTAAACCCAAAATCCAAAAGTGCAATGGACTACAAGGGCACAATGAATCATCCTAGATTAAGTGTATTGAGATAGTCCGATGACATAGATTAGCAACAACACCCGAAAGACTTGCCATCTCATGCTTTCCTCAGAGGTGGGGATTTACTATAAAATGAAAAAAGTAGAATGGGTGGTCAGTGGTCACACATCATTCCTAACATGATGCTCAAACACTCAACAAAGGGGTTTTCAATTTTTTTTTGCTTCACAAAAATATACGGTTAGAACAGTTCTTGGAATTTCTCAATTTTTTTTTTTGGTTATAAAGTGTTTAAGTTTGTATCGACTATTCTTTTTAACTCAGTGGCTCGTCAATATGACTTGAGCTAATCTAGAGCTATCCCCAAAGGGACAAGAGTGACTATCCCTTAAGGGGTATAGGAAGGAATTGAAGCTGAGAATTCTGGCTTATCAAAGAACAGGCTCAACCACTAAACCACTCCTAAGGGTTTGTGACTTCTTAGTTTGGCTAACTATTGTTCTAAGGATTAAAATAGTGTATTTTGATTCAAG